TTATACAGTTTTCTTTAACCAAAGTAGTATTCTTCTGTCCTTTTTGTGCAAAAGTATTACAAGAGCAATTCAAATGGAAATGCTGAAATGACATGCCAACATTTCAGGGCACATTTAAAACACTCAGAATAATTCTTGAGATTATCGTATTCTAGAATATTACTACCAATCACTTTTAGGTTAGTTCTTTACATCTACTCATACTGAAGAAATTTTCATAGACCTCTGAAAATAAACAGGCTCATTGGTCTCTTTTGGTGTCCACACAGTAGGCAAGATAGGTTTACAATAGTGTCTAAATGGAACAAAGCATCTATAATCTCTTTACCACATTCAAAAACAAAAGTCAAAGGTCATTTGGCTATCTTGAAATCACTCCCATAAACCTACTATGGTTCACTGGATCTAAACATTTCTCAGAAATGTGTCATTTTATAATTTCACCTAAGTGATGATTGGGGGATCCTTTAGAAATAGTTAATGCTTAAGATAATAAACTTTTATCAAAATGAGTAATTGCAATAAAGTGCTTGTTACATTTCAAAATGATGCTTCTAGACTGTGGTATGTTGTTTTCTGTGTGTGCTATTCCTCATAAAGGATCCCCAGGCATGAGAGTTGCGACTTCTCACCTGTCTCAGAAAGCAGCAGCACTATTTGGTAGGCTGACAATAGGCACATTACCATGCAGATGAGGCTATACTAGCGCTATGGCAAAAAAAATTAGAAGGGTCCCTAGTATACTCAGAGCTATTATATACAAATATATTAAATATGCTATAAAAATATTAGACTCTTTTCCTTTGCAATTACTTCAGAAGCTCCTTTTAGAAGAATGCTCACCAAATCCAAACAAACAAAAAAAGGTTCTTTTTCTCCGTTTGCTATGAAGATGGCAAGTGCCCTTGTGCTGTTTCTTCTTCCATCATTTAAAAATTCTCATCAGCCTACTCCTGTTTAGACTCATTCAACAATATTAATATCCAGTGTTTACACCTTCCAACACTGAATCCTGTGGGACTAAGAACAGGGTTGCAGATGCTGGAAAGGTTATAGACTTGAATGAGTTTTACACAAAATGTTTATCAACAAACTTTTAATCACCAAACAAATGTAAAGAGAGGAAAAAGTAGAAACAAGCAATAGTAGAGTAAAATGCTATTTGCATTCCACTTAATGTTTGCCTCAGTGTAGCAAAACCTTGTAAAACACATTGAGTAATACCCAGTCTAAAAGAATCTTTGCCTGTCTGTACAAAGCAGGGGAAAGAGTTCTGTTCTAAGTGCCCCTTTCTAACTAAGGCTTCGTGAACAAGGGTTCGTCTCCCTTCACACACCCTTTATAAAGCTGGACTGCTTCAGTGCTCATAACTAACTTCAAGCAGACGGCTTTAAGGCAATGACCAACAGCTACAGCACTTGTGCAGAATCCAAATAACATTTTCTCTATTCTGACGTGAGTACAACAAACTACTCAAAATCACTGGCATCCTTTTCTCTCTCTAGGACATTCCTAAACCAGATTTAAGTGACAAAGCAAAGCACAGTACTAAAATTACTCCAATTTAGAATGGAGTTCAGAGACTGAATTCTAGTATGTATTTACATTCTCACCCCCCCCCATTCACTTTTCCTCCAATATTTTCCACTCTAACTGGAGTATCTTGGTTGGATACCACTCTCAGCAGCAGTTTTCATTATTAACTCTTGTAGAGCAGTCTATTAGTTGCTGAGTAAGATTCAGTCACCCAGTACCACAGTAGCCCAGAGCAAGGTAACTGCAGAGCAGCTAGCATTTTTCCCTTATCTTCAGCAGTTTCTTGCATACCTAAAAAGTGCCACTCAGAATAAAATGTTTAAGAAAAAAATAAGTATTTGTGAGACTAAAGCAGAGGGACAAATCCAGTTTTTAAGTAGCTAAAGGTTGTTTTCATTCGGTACCCTCATGTTTCAAATTTGGGATTTTAATTTACAACTTTGGCTACATACATAAATGAAGAACAGACAACTGCTGCATCTTCATCTGAATGCTCAAGTCTTGATTCACGGGGGAGGGACCAGGACAGCTCTGCAACTCAAGTTCAAGAGAAACAGGAGGGAAAAAAAGGAGGAGCTAAGAGGCAGTTAATGCTTACTTGCTCTTCCACCAACACTTCATACTGACAGCAAAGGAAAAGCAGCTAGCTGCTCCTTTAAAGTTACCTATTGTTAATTCTAAGGAGGAGAAAATGAGTTGAGGAAAAACAGGAATTATAAAGGAAAATTCTAATTTTCTTTCCAAATATTTTTGAGGATAAAAAATACTTCAAGGGCCTTAAAACAAACCAACCCAAACCAACTGCTTTCGAGTCGAATCCTCCTCTTAAGCAACCCTTCCTTGGGTTTCCAAGGCGGTATCTCTATGGAAGCAGATTGCCCAGTCTTCCTTCTGAGGAGTGGCTGGTGGGTTTGAACCGCCAGCCTTCTGGTTAGCCGTCAGATGCCTTAAGCACTATGCCACTAGAGCTCCTCTGAAGGGACTAGGGGAGGAGAATGGGAGTAAATAAACAGTCTACAGATTTACTTTGTGGCTGCTTATGCTTTGCTTCTGTTAACCTAAGTACACAGTACTCACTGTATACCACCTTTTTGAAAAATACGGGACTTAGACTAAGCCTTAATGTAATAGTTCTATCTTTTGTTATCTAAATCTGTATCACTAAATCCTGCAAATAAATAAATGAGGCACAACTCATATATAAATGGAATGGCATGATAAGGTTTAGAAAGGCAATTTGAAGAGGGGAGAAAATGTTACCATATTCTATAACATCAGTTTTGTCTGCACATATATATGCTCAAATACACACATTTGAACAACTATTCTTGACATTCACAGAAATGCCAGAAATCTCTCCTGGATGATCATATAAGAATTCCTTGATACTTAATCATCAGTATCATGCTTCCTTTATAGAAGGATTGGTACCAGCTTTCTTTGGTTGTTTTATTTTCAACATTAATTCTCTGATTTAAGTGTGTGGCCAGGTATCCTTTTCTACAGAAAGACTAAGTATACACCTCAAAGGTGATGGTAAAGCTGAGGACAGGAAAGTCTTAAGAATGACTGAGATTTTCACTAATCCTTTTCTCTAGCAATTCTGCATTAAGTTATTTTAATTGCTTGAAATTTTTAGCAACCTCAACTCGGAATAGTGTAAGGTCAACTATGATTTATTGTAGGTTGTTGTCCTCGTAAGAGTGACAGCTTTCTGTATTCTAGTCAGGTATTTTCCTTTGCTCTGTAGATGTGAATTTTATTATCAGTACCATAAAGTCTATAAAATGTGTTTTAAAAAGTGTATGTTATTTGTTAGAATTTATTACCTTTAAGATGTGATACTGCCATATGCAATCTTAGCTCATGTTCAGGAAGCATATGAGTTACAGCAGCCTAGTGTTGTAGTGAAGGCAAAGCCAATTCCTGCCCCTTCTTTTTTCTTTATAGGAAAATCAAGTTCATTTTGAGAAAATTTTTACTGGCAGTTCTTATATGATTATTTAGCTTTAAACGAAGTTACCATGCTAATTTAAGGAAACAATTTTGGGACCACATTATTGACTCTGGTAGGAGGAGATAATCTTTTATTTCTAAATTATTTGCACCTCCAGTCCAAGAGACTTAAGCAGTCTTAATTGGAACTTAGGAGAATAATAACACTGATACCCACATGCTGTTAAAAATGTACTAAGGTTTCAAAATTGCTAGTGAAACCAGACAATGAGTTCAAGATGGTGAATTATCACCTGAATGAAAATCAAGGCACTATGGGCTTTTTTCCCCTCAAATAACCCTGAATCATTTCTGACTAAAAGAAGCATTGAAATTGTGAAGGATAATAAAAAAGATTCCAACATATCCTAAAAGTTAAAATTCCCACCATTGAGAATGTTAAAAAAGTGCCTAAAATGTGTTTTCTGTGCAAATTTTACTCCTATAACTGAGACATTCTTGAAATTACTTTTAGGCTTGTTGGAAACCATTTACACATATATTTCCAACTATGAACTATATTAAAATATGTGATCAAAATTCCCAACCATCTAAAATAAAGCAGTGCAAATCCTATTTTCAAACAAAATAATTGAAAAAGAATGAAATGAGGGTTTTTCTGAATAACGTGAAAATCCTGTTGTATCAATAACTTAACCTGAAAAAAATCCATTTCCAGCAGCACATCATACCTCACTGAACAAACTGTGACATCACAGCTAAAGTATGAGCAAAAGACTTGTGCCCCAGAAAACTGAATAGATCACTATCGTGTTGTAAACAAAAGGGAATACAGAGGATATATTAGTTTGTACATGGTGTCAGAATCTAATGAAATGTACTCCTACCTGTAAGAGATAATGTTTTCATGCAGCATACAAAATGTATCACTTTCTCTCCTTTTATCCAGACATATACACAGTATTTTTACAGCATCTGTACAACAGAGAATTTGAACCCACACAACATTCTGAAAGTAATTACTGTTCCATTATTTGAAAAGAGGGTAAGGTTGGGGAGGGTCTCTACTGAGTTTACTGGACTGTCTTCATGGCATCATTGTAAGCAAACCCCTGACATGGCAGTGGTGTGTCCTCTGTAACACTTGATAACAGGCACAGAACCACTAAAAGTTACTAACATTGTTAGTGCCTTTTCAATTCACTGGAGGTCATGTTTCATAGCTGAGCTTCTTAATATTTGGCAATATACTCTTTTCCATCAAAAAATATCTGGGAAACTACAACACTGTCAAAATTGGCTCCGCCCCTATGATCATCTGCTGGCTGGTATTTCATGTACATCTGTAGCACTAGGCAGCATTTTCCCTGCCAACTAATTTCAGGAACTAGAACACTTAATACTGTATCTCCTGAAGCTGCTGGTACCTTCTTCCCATTCTCAGATCATCTGAGCAACTCTTTATGGGCCGACTCTTTCCTCCCTTGCTGTCAGAGGAGGCGTGTGTGCTACTGTGGTTGAACCTTGGAAGGATCAGTCAAACTGTCAGTCCTGTGCCGACTAAGTTGCTGTTGCTGCTGCTGAGACTGGTGTTGCTGGTGATGTGACTGAGGGAAAGTGCTCTGTTGTAGTGGAAATGCAGCAGAGAGGATGAGCTGAGCTGAAGGATTCCCATGGAGCAACCGAGAAGTCTTAAAAAAAAAAAAAAAAAAAAAAAAAAAAAAAAAAAAAAAAAAAAGGTTATGTAATACGCTCTACCCTTACTATATTATCCACATAAGATTTACTCAAGTTTTCTACTGTCCACAGGGACAAAATCCTAAAGTTCCACGTAACTGACACAGACTTTGCTTTCTCATTTAAGAATCATATTTTGGAAAATTCTTAAGAATTTCTGAAACTATGTATAACAAAAATTTCATTTTTTTAAGGAATCTGAGCTGGAGAGCTTATGGTAAAGAAAGCAATCTATGTCTGGCAACAAGCCACACATTCTTTTAGTTTCTGTATCTTAAAGGTCCACATTTTAAACAGATAATAAAATTTAAACAAAGCCATGAAATATGAAACATGAGGGCAAATGGACAACGCCTTGTGCACACAGGCTCATTCAGTTGGTTAGAGCAGCAGTGTAAGTGGCCGAGAGCATAAGCCCTATGGAAGACTGGCGGGGTTTGAACTATTGCTGAGCCTTTACTAGATGTGTGAATTGGGCATGCTCTTTACTTCCTCTGGGTGTCAGTTTCTTCATTTAAAAAATAGGGATAATAATAGTGCCCACCATACTGCATTTTTATGAAGATTAAATGAGTTTAAACATATAGAGATCCTAAGTGTACAATAAGCTTTTATGGATTTTTCGGATACTTTACAGAACTGGTCATTTCAATGTTCGATTTCTGTACATCAGTGTGTTGGGACAGCTTCCCCATGGGGAGAATTACCTGTAAAAACTGCTGTGGTGGCTGGGTCAGCTGAGCCTGAGATGGTGGCTGAACTGCAGTAAGTGGCTGCTCCTGGGAACCCTGCTGCTGTGGCTGCTGCTGGGCTGCGGACAACGTCTGGGGCTGCTGCTGGGCAGCGAAAGGAGGGTAGGCAGCCACCACCTGTCCCATAAGCATAGTGCTAGGAACCATGACTGCCCCACAAGCCACGGGCGCAGTCACTAATTTGGTCACAAGTTGCTGACCTTGAGAAAATCTGAGAGAAAAGAAAGCAGCAGCAGAGTCAAGGCACAAGGTATACATTCCAAAGGGAATGGTTGAATGCCTCAGATAATACAACAGTGCCAGCTTTTGATTTTAAAAAAAAAAGCTATTCCGTTACGGTTTTGTTTCATGTTATTAAAAATTCCTTTTGGGATACCAGTTATACAAAAAAATTTACACAGAATGTTAGAGCTGTATATGCTGCTCTCTGTCTGAATACCATTCCATGACACCCTGCCACATGCAAACCCAAAGCCAAGCTCTTTCAGACTCAGGCCAACTATCTCCTCTGTGATGTTTTCCTTGACCACATTTTCTTAAACGGCTCGCGCCTTAATCCAGAAAACTGCTCAGTTCCTCCTTTCCGAACACTTACTAAGTATTAATTACATCAAATTTACTCGTTTACCTTTCTATTGCCTTTACAGCCTGATATTTCTCTTGGGACAAGGACTATGTCATATGCATCTCAACAGGCCCTCAAGTGTTTGTTGAAATATGTTTTTCCCCTCAAAAATCGGATAGATTAACAAATAGTTTAGTTGCCAAGTCACATCCTGCAAAATGCACATCAGTATTCTAGACTGATGCCTTTTTCCTCAGACATTACAACCAGTCTGCATTTCTATGGAGCACAATCAGAGCGCTTCCTTTCAGAATATTAGCACTGGAAGTTGGGCTTTTTCAATTTTTCCTGCTCTCGCTGCCTCCATGATCCTGCAGCTTCTTTACACTCTGGAAATGAACAGGATTTTAACTTAAAATCTACCACTCGTCCATCAGTTTGTTGTCCTGTACTGGCTTGTGTATTGCTGTGAGGCTGGAGGCTATGCCACAGGTATTTCAAATACCAGCGGGGTCACCCTGGTCAACAGGTTTCAGCACAGCTTCCAGACGAAGGCAGACTCAGAAGAAAGAAGGGGCCATCTACTTCTCAAAGAATAGTCCATATGAATAGCAGTGAAACACTCTAATATATTACTGGAAAACTTTATGAAAAGCCTTGAAACACTGTCCAAGATAGTGCTGGAAGATGAGCCCCTCAGACCAGAAGGCACTCAAAATGCTACTGGGGAAGAGCTGCCTCTTCAGAGTAGAGTTGACCTTGATGTGGATGGAGTAAAGCTTTTGAGACCTCCATTTGCTGATGTCGCAGAACTCAAAATGAGAAAAAACAGCTGAAAACACCCATTAATAATTAGAACATGGAATACATGAAGTATGAATCTAGGAAAATTGGAAGTTGTCAGAAATGAAATGCAACGTATAAACATCAATATCCTAGGCATTAGTGAGCTGAAATGGACTGTGTTTGGCCATTTTGAATCAGACAACCACATGATCTACTATGCTGGGAATGACAAATAGAAATGGTGTGGCATTCGTCACAAAGAATGCTTCCATATCTATCCTGAAGTACAATGCTGCAGTGATAGGATAATATCCATATGCCCATAAGGAAGACCAGTTAATACTACTATTATTCAAATTGACACATCAACCACCAAAGCCAAAGATGAGGAAACTGAAGATTTTCACGAACTTCCGCAGTCTGAAAGTGATCACATATGCAATCCAGAATTATTGATTATCACGGGTGATTGGAATGCCAAGTTAGAAACAAGAATCACTGGTAGTTGGAAAATATGGCCATCGTGATAGAAATACTGCTGGAGATTACATGATAGAACTTTGCAAGACCAATGACTTATTCATTGCAAATACCTTTTGCAACAACATAAACGGCTATACACGTGGACTTCACCAGATGGAGTACACAGGAATCAGATCAACTACATCTGTGGAAAGAGGCAATGGAGAAGCTCAGTATCTTCAGCCAAAACAAGGCTGGGAACTGACCGTGGAACAGACTATCAACTGCTCATAAGCAAATTTAAGTTGAAGCTGAAAATAAGTGCACAAGAGCCAAAATATGACCTTGATTATATGCCTCCTGAATTTAGAGACCATGTAAAGAACAGATTTGATGTACTGAACACCAATGACCGAAAACTAGAGGAATTGTGGGATGACATCAAGA